CACATTGTCATCGCAGCAGTCGGTGCAAACGTTCGGTTTCGTTGCGCAGCGGACGGGTCGCCGCCGCTGCGTCGCCGCTGGTCGCCACTTCCACCGCAACATGCCATTACTGTTGAAGGACACCTTGATATTCTTGGTAAGATGCAGAGTGACTGTATATTAAGAAAGTTTAATATTGTAATGCATTGCCCTTTCTGACTACCAAAACCGATGTTACAGGCGTACAACTTGATTGGGCTGGCAACTACACGTGCTATGTCCGCAACACGCTAGGAGCGGACAGCATCACGCACACGCTACGCACACGCCCCGCACCGGAGCCGCCGCCCGCACCTGCACCGCCGCGTGTTGTACGCGCTACGATGCATGAACTTAATCTAGCTTGGGACCCACTTTTAAACATATTTCCTCCAATATTAGGTACAGTCCAGCAAAAAAGAGTAGAAATTAAATAAAATGAAACTAAAAATTTTTCATATTAAATTGTTGCCATTCATAGTCAATGTTTCCATTTAATTTTGAAATTTCTTACAAAGTGGCGCCCTCATTTTTTGTCTACTCTTTTTTGCTGCACTGTACGCAAAACAATATAAAATTATTGATTCGTTATTTCATAGCGACATAATCGGCGTGCTATAAATATTTTATTTATCAGGGTATACTCTGGAATGGCGACGTGATATGGCTACAGCTGAAGAGCTGGTAGAACCGCGTGACGCAGGCGTGGCTGCAACGGTAGTGGAGTCCCCCACACGCGCCGTGCGGGGGCTCGCGTGCGGCGCGCGGTACCGCGTGCGACTCACGGCGCACAGCGCGCGCGGCGCGTCGCAACCTTCGGAAGACCTGCTCGTCAGCACAGCTGGACACGGTAAATAAAGTAATATTTAGCACATGTTAATTTTAAAAAAATGCTCTACTATTAGTAGTCTTTTTCATAGAGGAACAACCTCTTAATTGAACCCTTAGCTTCCCTTCACTTTCTTTCTACTGATGAACAGAACCAATCCCGCCGGCAGCGAGTGAGTTCGTGTGGGTGAACAGCAGCGCGGCGCGGCTGTTGCTGCTGTCGTGGGACGCGCCGTGCGGCGTGACAGCGTGGCGCGCCGCGCTGCGCGCAGACCACGACGATGCCTGGCGGGAGCTGCAAGCACCCGGGAAATACGACGACGTTCTTGAAGTAAGCAACTAGGTGCACCTGTATGGTTGTGCACACACTCCAAAAGGGCATTAATTTCAAATTGTTAGTGTCAATGATTGATTATAGTTGGAAAATCCTGGATCATCAATTAAAATATCTCGCTCCTCTGAGGCTGGGCTCCGAGTACAACAATATTTCATGCAACGCACTGTTATCAATTCTTTATGCTTCTCCCATGGCGCCCAGCTTCAGAGAGATGAGGTATTGTAGTATGTTTGTCTCCCTAAGAGCCCAAACAAAGTTCCATCGTAAAAATAATGGTCCAGGATTTTCCAACTAGAAGCCCTAATAACCACTTATTGACCACTCTGTAGGTAATGCACTGTTATGGTTGTTGCAGGTAGGTGAGATGGCAGCCGGTTCTTGGTATGAAGTTCGTGTAACAGCGCGATGGACAGGAGGGTCTGTTGTCGCTCACTACCGGCTCGCCACATTGACAATTGACGGCGGTGAGTAGTTTTTCTTTCACTGCAGTACCTAATCTACGATGAGTCGTTAAAGACAACTGAAGGATTTGAGGGTTTCACACTGAAAACAGTTGCATGTGATAGACTTACAAGATCGGAGTAGATGTATTTAGAAAATTCACAGATCCAGAACCAAGCATTTTTTATCTGGTGCAGACCGTATTGGTGAAAGCTTGCTGCTGCCGGCGGAAGAAAACGCTAGTGCGGGCGCCGCGCTGTGGCCAGCCGCGCTCGCTGCCACACTCGCCTCGCTCACTGTTGTGTTCTCATTATTGGTGAGTATTTGCCTTCACTTTTGTATCTGTGGATAACTTTAAACAAGGTGACCGTTGGTATGAAAATCACAGCATGTTTATTTCCTTATACAGGTGTGGCGCATCACGAAGCGCACCGGCAAATGGCGAAGGCGCCGCGTGCCGCCGACACAGTCGCTGAGGCCGCGGGATGAACTACCCCCACCGCCGCTACAGACACTCGACTACACCTTGCCAACCAAATGCGATATTTCTGGTAAAAACATCTTGTAGACGTGTTCTTCAGCAAATACATCATGAAAATTATTTTATTCTTAGTGCCATTGTTGGTGCCATTAGTGCCTGGTCACACTACAACCGAAATTTACGCGACGGAATTCGGCGCAATTACGCCAGCCATGTTATTTCCATTACGGATGACACACTTCAGCCGAAATTGAGCCCGAAGTAATTCGATGTGATTATTGCGTAATTTCGGCGCTTATAGTGTGTCATCTCCTACAACGAAAACGCCGAAAACTGACGGAACGGAATTCAGCTGCCGAATTTCGGTCGTAGTATGTCGGGACACTAAGAGGCTACATTTGTGTTCTTTGGCAGACATTCGCGTGATGTCGGCGCGGTTGTCGATCGCGGGCAGCCTGACGAGCGGCGTGGCGAGCGGCGCGGCGCTCGGCGGCTGCGACAGCGCGTCCGACTCCAGCGGGGAGCCCTGCGCCGCCTGCCAGCGCGCCGCCATCACCAACACGCCCGCTAATAGGTACCTACCGTGTCACATCAAATTTTCACCTTAAATAAAGGGTGTAAGGGACGGTGTAACGAAATCTTGTTTCCCACCATTGGCCCCATTGTAAAAGTTGTTCAATTTCATGGCAAAGTTTTCGGGACCTACAACATCCCTTACACCCTGTATTATATGAATTCTTTATTTATTGCTTGAGTATTTTAATTCTGATTTCCTTATTTTCCTCTTAAAGATATCGGTATTGACGGAGATTATTCCTGCTAACAAATAGGTAACGGAACTAAAATAGATTCCCATATAGAGACTGGGATTAATTTTAATTGTGTATTTAGCTGTAGAGTACATAGGTAATATTGTATCTAGTTGAATAGTGCTGGTTTAACTATGATATAGCATTAGCAGTTGTGCTATGTACAAATACTAGACGCAGTCGTTTCAAATAGCACAAGAGTTGATGATGTTTGGTCTATCTCGATGATCACCTGGTGCGTGCTTGCCCACAGTCGTGTGTCGTCGCTGCGCGCGCGCCGCCTGCTCGACGCACCGCCGCCGCCGGCGCCCAGCAGACCATTCTTCTCTTCCACGTAAAACTTACTAATGTAAATAATTTGAATCCAAAATCGACTGAAGTTGTTGAAATAATAAAATTGCCATTTCAATTTTAACTTTGTTTTATTTAATTTCTTGGCCCCTTTTACTTTGTCTATATCAAAACTAGCTTCAAATTGTATTAACGGCATTGTTCTAACACTAAAAGCGCTGGCTACAAGTTTGAACTCTCTAACTGCGTGCATCTTATTTGGTTTGTCTTAGTACGGCGTAGAAAGTGTACGATGATTTGAGAATCTAAAAAAGAAAAATATTATTTAGAAATAATTATCTACTTTATGTTACCGATGATCTAATATTTTTATAGTGTTTTTCAGACCTAAATTGTAACTTCAGGCCAGCTGAAGTCTTAAGCTGAGAGGATAAAATTACACGATTTGCGTTTGGTTATTTTGACATTATTATATAGCAGATTACTAGGCCTCCTTCAGAGAATGCCATAACATAAGGCACGATCTACCATTTTCACCGTCCATTCGCTTCCAGCCACCGTGTATTTAAGTCATTGGTCCATCTTGAGAACGAACATCGCGTTTTTTTGGCCTGACACGATCTGCGTTTGATTACCTTGAGAAAAGTCTGTAGTGAGAGCGGCACGAGCCTGCCGGCGGCGACGCTGAGCGGGCGCCGCGCGCGCTCGCCGGCCAGCAGCAGCGCGCGCGCGAACCAGCGCCGCCGCCCCGCCGCCACCTCCGCCCCCTCCCACCCGCACGCGTACAGCGAGTCCGCCAGGCGCGCGCTCTGAGGACATACACAATTCCATAAGAACAACGCGTTAGTATAGGATGACCCTTGTTTTCTTTCTATCTATCTGGCTTGGAAATACCGGCAGGCAGATGTGAAACCGGCAGCAAATATTCAAATCTGCACCTTAATTATGAACTTCTAATCTGCACCTTAATTATGAACTTGTAATACTGATAATAATAATAGCAATTACCTCATAAGTTAGTTCATTTCCAAAATAGCAGTAAACGAACAGCTCAGTTAATATGCACATGATGAATAAATTCATTGACGCAAATTCTATGCTAAGAACGTTCAGCTGAAATCAAGAATACCTAAGTTTTAATTTCACAACTAAGAAAATTGAAATAAACCGAAAAGTTTTTGTATATTACGTACGTACACTTATCATCTTGTAGGCGGCCATACAGAGGATCCACCCTCCTATAGTAAACTGAACAAGTATCGCTGTCCCAAACAAGTCCTGCAGCAAACTTGTGATCCTGAGAATATGTGAGTAAGACTTGTTTGTTTTAAATATACACTCATTCAACGTAAGGAAATATGCACTCCATTTTAATAAAAAGAAACTTACGAGCATATTTTCTGATAATGAGACAGACAGTCCCGAAAAAGGCTTTTCAGCCCTGTTTCAAAGTCTTCCCCATGTGCTTTGCTGTACTCCGTTGCTCTATCGGGGAGATTTTCAAGGTTGGTCCTAGAAAAACGTTAAACATAAGAAATTGTTGTTATGAGTATTTTTAATTAAAATTATGGTTACCACCGTAAGAAAACTTGCAAAATTTTCATCGCAGGCTGGATTTGAAGCAACGACTTTCACCATCTGTACTGGCAACGCCTCTACCAACTAGACTACAGCGGCTTACTCCAAGCCCGTGAATTTAGCAAGTATACCTTGACCACTAACGCATGTACAACTATCCTGGATGCCACGCGTTAGTGGTCAAGATATACTTGCTTAATTCGCGGGCTTGGAGTGAGCCGCTGTAGCCCAGTTATTAGAAGCGTCGCCAGTACAGATGGTGAAGGTCGCTGGTTCAAATCCAGCCTGCGGTGAAAATTTTGCAAATTTTCCTAAATTGTATCCCTAACACTGAAATGTTTTAAAAATTTGGTATTCAGGTACCGCTCTAATTTAGCAACTATACTCCTGTAGATATGCCTACATGCATAATTATTATTGTAATGAAATCATGAATGGCGTTACCGTAGAATCCTCATCTGCGTGGTGCACTGGTAGAGCACGGTACCGATGAAGGCGTCCATGGTGGTGTTGGCGATGCCCACCAGCGTCGTCACGTAGAACGAGTACAGCAGCACCACCAGGAAACTAAACAGAAATCATTCATGAATCGATATGAATTCATATCAAGTACTTTGCTGTAGTATACAGGGTGTAAGGGACGTTGTTCAGAAAACTTTGCAGGCGTGATTAGATCATGAAACTGAACAATTTTTGCAATGGAGCTAATGTTGGTAAACCAGAAAAAATTTCCGGCCTCTCATACAAAGTTCACGATCAGCTAGGTTTGTGTCTCGGACTAGTGCCTCAGGTCAGGTTAGGTTAGCTTAGGACTGACTTTGTATAGGAAGTCCAAAATTGTTTTCGTTTACCACCATAGGTATGTTCCATAGAGAAAGTTGTGCAGTTTCATGGTCTGATCACCTGCAAAGTTTTCGTTACCTTTCTCCCTTACACCCTGGTAGGTATATTGTGATCAAATTATGAATTGTGTGTGGAAAGAAATTGTCAAATCAAAATTTTAAATGTGTTACCCGACTGGGTGTCGAGTGGAGAGCGGCATCCAGAAGGCGAACTCGACGGGCTGGCTCTGCAGGAACTGCGCGACGGGGAACACGAGCCACAGCACGCACGTCGCCAGCGCCGCGCCCGAGTACGCGCGCTGCAGCCGGCGCGCGCGGTCCGCCGTCGAGATCAGAGCACGCGCGCCCCAGGACTGGTTAAACAGCGGATCTGCGACATATTTTATTGGGTTTTACGAGGGAAATCAATATTTTAGTGTCAACGTCGCTAAGTTCCGTGGACAGTATCTTTTCTTTCTTCAAACTACAGCCCTCTACACGAAATATCAATAATATAGGTACCAATCGCGTCAATGGGTTGTTAACAGGTCGTCCCATTCGCAACTCGTCCCACGTAAGAAACATGTTCCCTTCGCAATTCGTCCCGTTCGCAACTCGACCCGTTCGCAACTCGTCCCGTCTCGTCGTCAACTACTTGTCCCACCAAAGTGTCAGGGTTATACAGAGAAGCTTAATTTCTAGGGAAATAGTTTACCATCAAACTCTCTGATGAGGGAGTCCACGCGCGCCGTCTCCATGTAGAACACGACCTGCTTCACGGCCGACGTCACGTGACACAACAGCAGAAACATCACTCGGGAAAGCTTGTCCATATCAGATCGCTCCTGTAATACGATGTAGTATATGCGTTTTGCCGAAGTACATTTTAGTGTAATGTATTGTGCCATTATCGTAATTGTCCGTTTTGTTTACCTGATATGCATAGAAGCATTCCTGAACCAAATAGAGAAGGCAAGCACTGAAAGCAAAGAGACAATAAATATAGTGAGAGTCCCGCAGTATTGGTTTAGTATCGGGCGCGAGGCGGCAGAACCCGCACCAGCGCAGACACTGCAGGTGCGGCGCCACGCAGCGCCCCGCCAGAGTGTCGGCGGAGCCTGCTCCTCGCAACGACCCGCCATCACCGCCCTCGCGTGATCCCACCAGCATCAACGTCATCCTGCCCTCCATATCACTCATCAAATGACACTATTAAATTCTCTCGTCTAAACCCTAGTTAAGTAACTAGTAATTAGCTCTTTGATGCGAGGGCGTTTCTTTGAATAATTAAGTCCCTTATTAGCTGTGATATCATAATTACGTACATTTGTGGGGCGGAGTCTCGTTCTATATCACAATGGGTTAATTATACCTTAGTTCATTAGAACTGATTCAAACACGCACGTTTAACAGCCAGCCACTAAATAACAACCAGTGAACACCGCCCGACAAGGCAACATGGTTCATTTTATGCAGTGCGGTTGCATATTTCGTAGGCGTATCGTTAGATTAGCCATATCGTGATACGCCGGCACATCATAATCTGGCCATTAAAAACAAGGAATATCTTTCAACACTTAACATTTAACGATTTAGCCAGCAATATTTGGGCATATCGATTGTTTATGTGTAGAGTGTCCAACGTTTAAGAAATAAACATTAAGTTAATAATTAAATGTTTATTAAAATAAATTCACAAAAGGGCACAAAAAATCATAAGTACTGGCCTCGTAAGTTGAAATCTTGTGATATAATTCGCTTCGTCACAATACCTTTTTTCGGCATGGAACGCTACATTTCACACACTGCGCACAATTTAATGAATATTTCTATTTTTATTTGTATTAACAAGAATATTTCTATTGCTTTTTGGATTTTGCAATTTGCATTTAATTTTGCCTCTGCCATCATGTCCAACAGGTGAAATTCGATGTACATTGCGTAGTTGGTTAGCAATTATTACCGACTACGCAATGTACATCAAATTTCGGCTGTAGAATTGTAGCCAGTAGTTATGTAAAATCGGGCAGTGGTATAAAAAAGGGAAATTCTACAAATATGTCGGTCTCGTCGGTCTGCCAAACCATAACTTTGAACTAGGCACATCATGATGTGCCGGCGTTTCAAGAAGTGCCAGGCCTTATCATGATGTGGCTAAACTAACGATCGGCCCACGACACGCGTATCACCCGTGTGACAAACAGACACTCGAGTTCTAAAGCCTTCCGTTATAATAAAGTTGCATAAACTACTAATTATGCACAAAAACAAATAAACTACAAAAATTTGAAAAAAGTATTATTAACTTTGACTTGGTAATTTTTCTTAATGTAATGTTTTCCGTGTGATTACAAAAAAAAAGCGGCCAAGAGCGTGTCAGACACGCTCACAAGAAGGGTTTCGTAGTCAACGTTTAAATATCAGGACTTTTAGCGTTACAAAGTTATTTTTTTTGCTGTTTTGTTTGCAGCTGTGTGATTACGAACCGCAAATTGAAAAACTTTCATATTGCCTTAATCTTAAGTGGTACAGTATTCGTTATAGTTTTCATGGTAACTTCATAGTAAGAACTATACACCATTATTTTTTTTAATTTTAAGCTTGCATACTTTAGAAGTTACAGCGGGAACAAATTATGGCTAATAATTATAAAAATATTAATAAAAATGCCCCTTTTAAAAGCAAATATCTCGAGACAGAAACATTATAGAGACTTTGTGTCAAAGAAACCTCCCCTTAGTTTTAAAAGAACTATTCAACGATACCCAACTCAATATTACAAGAGACAAAATTTTTTTTTTCCCCCCTTTCACATGCATGGGAAGGGAGTCCAAAAATCGATTAAAATATTGCAAACAAACCAGCAACAAAATTAATTATGTAACGCTGAAAGGCCTGATATTTAAACGTTGACTACGAAACCCTATTTGTGAGCGTGTCCGACACGCTCTTGGCCGCTTTTTTTACAATGACTTACCAATATTTTTATAACGACTATCAATAAGTGCTCTTTTTTTATCCACCTTTTGTATTTTGTATTACGCGATTTGCGACCGGGCTGGACGATGGACGCGTGTCCTGTGTGTGTAAGTTAGGTTAGGTTAGGTTAGGTTAGGTTAGGTTAGGTTAGGTTAGGTTAGGTTAGGTTAGGTTAGGTTAGGTTAGGTTAGGTTAGGTTAGGTTAGGTTAGGTTAGGTTAGGTTAGGTTAGGTTAGGTTTTTTTTTTTTTTTTTTTTATTGTTCTCTCATGAGTTAAATCCGCTCACGAGAGGAGTTTATTGTCAGTATTTAACAAACATTTATCCACAGCGCTAATGGGATACACTAATGAATAAACATCCTATTTACATCCTGTTTTGTCTCCATTTTGTTGGTCATTTGTTAAGTTTAAAAGGCATTTAAAAATTTATGTCTACACAACTAATACACTTAGTACAAAGAGATGCCTTACTATCTATTAATTCCTTACAAATATATTTATTTCTTGCTATACATATTTAAATATCAAAGCATTTGTTGATCAGCTAATTTTTAGACCTATTTTTTATTGAATGTAAAGCATTGTCTCTGCGTCTATATATCAACTGTTGACCCTAGACATGTGAGACGAGTAGTTAGTTTTAAATTACAAATAAGATATATTAGATATTATAAAGTCGCCGATTCGATAGGTCACAGAGGTTGCTATTGTCACCATATCACTGGAGTTACTTGGTATCAGTCACAAATGTCACTAAAATAGCATATGTACATGGGCGCATCCGGCATCCGGTCACCAATGCAACATGGGCGCATCCGGCATCCGGTCACCGATGTCACCGATGTCACATGGGCGCATCCGGCATCCAGTCACCTATGTCACCGATGCAACATGGGCGCATCTGGCATCCGGTCACCGATGTCACCGATGCAACATGGGCGCATCTGGCATCCGGTCACCGATGTCACCGATGCAACATGGGCGCATCCGGCATCCGGTCACCGACGCATCCAGTCCCTGATGTCACCTGAGTCGCCGTGTCGTAAATATCGTCAAGTTGCCGAAGTTTCTTTGATCTAGTTACATGTAAAAATTATTACCGAGGCCAATTAAGTTATTACACAAACTTTCAAATTGAAATAAATGCTTTAATAATTATAAAGAAGGTTTAACTATTTAGGAAAACTATTACTGTCCATAATCAATCCTCGTTCGCAGATTTTCTGCCATTTGGATGACTTTCGGGCAATCCTTTGACGTGGCAGCGTGGTTTGGTACATCGAGGTTAGAATTGTGTTTTTTGAGGTGTTTGTCACAGTTGTAGCAGTTAACTTTGCTTTTGTCGCTCTTTACAGGACAATCTTTAAAATTATGAGTCATTGCAGAACAGTGTGAGCATATTGTGTTCTCATTAGTGCATCTGAGCCTAGTGTGACCGAACTGAAGACATTTGTAACACTGTAATAGAGGTGTGTACTCCTCAATGTGAATT